TCGGACACAGGAAGTTTGGTGGAAAATGACTGGTCCTCTTCCCCAATTGCAAAGAACAACTCATCTGAACCCCTTTCGCAAGAACCGATTTGCTGTCCCCAGCAAGGATACCCACAGATCCGGGGCCGAAGAAGGAGGGGGCGAGAGAGGCGGTTGGAACTGCCTCTTCCTGGGCCCAACCCCGGAGACCCGCTGTCTGCTTTTCTCACTCTCCAAGGCACACCGAGGTTACCAAGCCCACGAGGCTTAAGGCCACCTCACGACGATCAGATGCGAGGTGGATCACGGTCTGAGGAGTCTGGGCACTGAGCAACCAACTCGGTGGGTGAAGTGACTTCACCTGGTGACGTGCAGACAAAAACTATACAACTACTTACCCTTTTTTTTAGTGTCACCTGGCTGGACAACTCCTGATAGGCCCCACACTACTCACAGGCCCCACACTTGAACACCCCACGTGTGCGCGAGGTCAAAAGGGCTTGAGACCAAGATCAGCCACCCAGCCTGTCACCCAGTGTCCAAGCGAATCCACCGAAGCTGTTCCACCGAAGTCGGTTTCAGGTGGAACAATGGCCACCACGAGTTCGGTGGTGGGCCACAGTGCGGCCCGCGGCCCCCCACCGGTGGTGGCGGCTTGTCGACGGGACTGGGATCGGTGTGGGATCGATTCTACTAGCGTGGCACTTGTTCCTAATAGCTTCTTGCTACTACTAGTAAGGCACTTGTTACTACTAGCGTGGCACTTGTTACTGCTTCTTCTCTTGAAGAGATATGTCAAATGATCCAATCTTTGGAATATCACGTCTCTCCTTGGAAACCACATATGTGGGGATCTATGTCTTTGGTCAAATCTGGTAGGAATCTAGTATAGACCACTCTGAGTTTTCGGTATCTTGATAGTTCGATCCAAATCTGACTGGTACGTACATGTTTTGCAAGGTATGCGGTGTGCATGAGGAGCCATCGGTCATCGCCGGACGGCTGCTGAAGAAGTGTCTCATAAATCCTGATGTATGTGATACCAAAGACCACACGAACTAGATGAGGATCATATCATATCATTCAGTTGCCCATCTGAGACCTGAGTGCCGGGCCAGAATCAGAGACTGCCCCACTTGCACCTGGCCAGCACTCGTTCCTTTCACCCACCGCGCAGACACATCCACCATGTCGGCTCCAGAGACCCAAACATGAACGACCACGAACGGGTGATGCTACTCGGACACATTCCTGGCCAGTCCAAAAACTGTTATGCTGCAGACTCTGCCCCCTTGATTTTTGGCAAGAGGATCATTGCATTGATGCCCGGCAAACTGATCCAATACAAGCCAGAAGCTTGTTGACATCGGGTGCTTCAGTGTTTGGCCGTACCCATCGGACGTGGGTCAGATCGGAATCGTGGACCTGGTCGCCAGGTCCTGTCTTCCTCCTTTGAGTTCAACCAGATCAAGCAGCTGAAAATTAGGCTCCCCAGTTTCAGTCCGGAATGGGCCCTGATGCTGATGGGTTTTCAGTGGCGATTGGGTGAGAGGCTGACAACCCTGGATCCATGGATGCGCTTACTTCAAGTCAAGATGGTCCACTTCGAACTTCAGAGCAAAATTCCTTTGGCATCAAACTTCTGTGAAGATAGATGGTGATTCCCATGATTTCAACGGCTCACCGTTCGAACCATTCGCACCCTGAGTCCTACACGCACCCATTGGGAAGTGCGGTCACCTGGTGCTTCTGCTTTCGGGGAACCACTGGCTTTGAGGCCCTGACGGCAAGCAGCGGACAGGCAAGTGACCAGGGCATGGCTCCATCAAGTACAAGGCTTTGCGGATCAGAGAATTCCAAACCAATCCTTGTTCGAAAACGATACGAATCCTGCATGTTGTGCAAATCTCATTTCAAAAACATGCAAAAACAGCAGGGCCGTTGTGGCACCGCTGCGCTTGTTCGAAGCATGGTCACCTCTTCACCTACGAACCGAAAAGACCCTGCGATCCTGTGATTCCAAAAGTCTTCCCATTGGTTGCAGTCATTTTGCTTCACTCTCCAAAATAACAAAAATCACTCAGTTCTGTCACACTGCTCCTGTTGACCCGACCCCTCTTCGTGCAAGAGCCCAGAGCAGCGATCATCCGACGGTCGTGCGAGTCGTGCACGAGAACGAAGACAGAGGTTGGTCTGATCGAAATGCAAAGTACCAGGAGAACCCGTTCCTGGGGTGTTGTTTGGACCCTGTTTGGGGGTGCGCCAAATGGACACGACACCCCTCCTCCTCCTTCGTAGGGGTCTCCTCGTTTTTTAGATTTCAGGCTATTCTTGATTGGAACATGTTCGTGGCCTCCACCGAAATGGGTCGCTCTTCTGAAAGAGGAGCACAAACGGAGACATGGGAGTGGTTGGCAGTGAACTGAGTCACTACGAACGCAGTACGGTCGCGTACTGCTGGAGGACATGTCACGGCCAAAAGATGTGTCTCTATATAAACAACATTTTACAACAACAGCCGACTCAGTGGTCAAAGCCATGAAACAGCGGTCGAAAACAGGCCACCCGTTATTCATGTTAAGGAGGAAAACGAAACATGTGAGTTTCTGGAGTGTCCTCTCCCGCTCTCTGCTCAAATTAGGGAGACTCTTTCGCAGGTGTCCATCCACCAAAACCCACTGCTTTCCATGTCCATTTCAAGCACTGCCACCAGGCCGCGTCTCCACCTGCCCAGTCTGTCGCAGCGCTCTTTCCACGAGATGGTCAGGACTCCAACCAGCGTGCGAGAAGCGCCCGAAACTGCTTGGCAGTCGAGGTCACCTCACATACGCTCCCAAACGGTTCGGTCTTTTTGGTATGCAGAATGGAAAGGGCCTGATACGGCTCCCCCCCTCATTCTCGCAGGAAGCCCGCGCATGGACGAGTCAGCAGCCTGTAGAACGGGTTGGCATTTCACTCCCACGACTGATGCCATGGCTCTAAAACTGATACAGTATGGGGATGGGTCAAATCCGACGGTCGTCCACCATGTAGCGAACGACCGTTAGGTCGGTAGGTCGTGAAACTGGATAAAGTGGCAGCGCAGCTCCCTTTGAGACTTCAAACAACAACAACAACAACAACAACAA